ACATCTTTATATTCGCACATTGTAATTCACAGTATATGTATATTGCGCATACCGCGTGGGTACAATGGTTTGAAGGCACTTTAAGAAAACGTGACATCTTTTCTTTAGAGTATCTAAGAAGACACTGCCCTCGATCAAAAGTTAGAAATGAAGACTATTATTTCCCTACTGACAAAGAGGGAGGGGTTTCCCTCTGAGAAAAGACCTTTCTTGCTGGCTGCTTGGCTGTTTGAGCTAAACAAGGACGCGGCAGGAGGGAAATTCGTCTGATCTCGCTTTCAAATATTGTTTTGTTCAAATGCCCCCAAACCTCACAAAAAACGTTTTTCAGGAGCACGAAAATGCTTATTTTTTTTCTCTCCCCATGGAAAAATTGGCGTCTTTATTTCTAACTTTTGATGAGGGCCAGTGTTTCTTTTATAATTCTGAATAGACATGTCCGCCACTTAGTAGAACCTTCATGACGAATTACAGCACTATAGCACGCCAATTAAGTACTTTTGATCCATTGGGTATTTGCAATAGATGGCAGGCCAAAAAGAAAAAAGCGTCTTGATTGTACTTGCAACCAAGCCTGTGCCCCGTGTTTTTCAATACAATTTCTATATATTTTCTTTTGTGTGTGTGTGTGTGTGTGTGTCTGTGTTTGTGTGTGTTTTCGGGTCGATCTAAGTTGTTTATGTAAAATTCACAAGAAAAGCCGACACTCGCACGTGGAGAGCTCACATTTTCATCACACTATTTTATGAAGTACCTTTCTGTAAATGTTTGGCTGATTGGTCAAACAAAAAGACAAATTAGTCGTTAGTTGTTTATACATGGCGACATTGTTACCCACTATAGATGACCGGGCTCCTTCTTCCGTGTTGCTCCTTCGTATGGTCCTTCGTCTTCTGCGATGTTATTAATCCCGAAGTATGTCGTACCAACTCGCTCAGGCCTCGACGTGAGCAATTTCGCCAGTGAGTCAGACTGTTATCCTGGGATCTTTACGTGCACCACGCAGTAGTGATACACGAGCGCACGCCTGTACGATGCTCATCTCAAAGCGAGCAAGGGGTGAGGATTGAACCCAATATATCTAGGTTCTGCCGGGCTAGCTTTCGCTCCAGGTGCTCCGAGCTGGTGTGTGCTAGTGTGCGCTAGCCCAATCGGCCACTGATCCCCTGCTGGTCGGTCACTGGTGTGAGCAAGTTTTGCAAGCTAGAAAGTATTCGAAGAAAACCACAAATTTGGAAGTTGGTACGATGCGCGTTGCCTCGGTTTAAGGAAAGTAGCTACAAAAATAATCTTATCATCCTCATCAACTGAACCGACTGGTGATTATTTCCCGTGCCCTGTGATAATTGCAGCGGTTTCAAGAGAAAATAAATTAGTGTAGCAAACAAAAGGGTAAAAATGTTGAAGGGTAGGTGACGCAAGCTACCGCCTGGTAAAAGAGATGCAGCCTGTATTGGTTTACTTATCCATTTATACATAAAAAGACCACGATTTGTCTGAAAAGTCGGGCTATAATATTGTATATTAGGTTATTTCCAAAAAGTAATTAAACAGAGCACGTTTTTGAAGAAAGTATTCCTCCTTTCAGCCTAAAGTACCGTGGTCTAAAGGTTCAAAAGTAGAACGCTGGAGTTTCTCACGTGAAAAAGATAACCCAGAGAGGGTTACTAGCTGCCACCTAGGAACCTAGATTCGATTGAGCGAACAGAATTTATTTTCCTTCGACAAACACATGGTTTCGGTTGAATGTTTCGCACTCATGTTTCGTGACTTGGGTCGTTCTGATACCGCTGATGGTTATAAGATTTCCTGACTCTGGCGAATGTACTGCGTGATACGCGTGAAATTACATTCTGGCAGTGAACTGTGTTGTGATCCGTCGCCGTTCGTCGTTATTGCAAGAGAACTTCGATTCACAGAAGCACGAAGTTACAACGATCGCAGTGGCAGCGGTCATACCGCGTAACGCCTCTTCCGGATTTTTCCAGCGACAGGTACCCATATTGTAGTGATCGCGGGTGACCCGGGTGTCCCTTTTGATCCGTCGCTAGCTATCTGTCGGCGTGCAGCTTCCGCTCAGCTGTGAGTATTTTGGGGGTTCCACGCTGTGGTGCCTCGTAATAAATTGTTACGTTCTTTTACTAAAACCAAAATAGGCATTTTTGAATCGTTCTTTTCCCTCGCGGTAAAAAAGAAAAAGTCAGACAAGTATTTCCGGCTTCAGGGAAGAAAAAATAAGCGATACAAGCATGTTCACTGAAACATCGTTCGCTAAAATGTCATTCGCTAAAATGAGCAATATTCACTAAAGCGTTATTCGCTACAATGTCGATTCGCACAAATGACCTCTTTTCGCTAAAGTGTCATTCGCAAAAATGCCATTCGCGCATGTGATATGGACCCGGATGATAGCCTAGCTTTCCGTACCGTTGGAGGTTACGATGAGGCCTAGTGCAACCTCTGGCCTAAGCTTATACCAAAGTTTCCCCCAGCGAAGCGAGGTGTGTTCCACCTAGCGCGGGCTGCTTTTAAGATTAGAATTAGGGCACTCAAATTTGTTTTTATTCGACCTAATTCGCGTGGGCAAGTCTACTTTAGTTTCGCTATGCTTCTAGCACACGAAATAAATCCAGCAATGAAATCACATCCACGTAATAAAAAAACAAAAATAAAATTGAGTTGTTTTGTGTTATTCAAAGTACAGTCACGCCAAAGTCGTTGGGTATCGCTGTCGCACTCACGCGCCGTGGGGTGCGTAAACAAAATCGTTCGGAATAAAATAGAAATCTGTTTTATTCAAAATTCCTTTGTTTTGTTCCATTTTGTTCCGAACGCTTTTGTTTCTTGTTTGTTCTGGAGCGCGTAAAAAGGCGTCTCCCACCAACACGAGCTCTCGACTTTCGGGGTGCTACAAAATAATTTTGATATCGGCAATATTTTTTTTTTCATGATCCGCGTACAGTGGGCATTAGGTACTACAAAACCCCCAAGTCCTCGAGGTAACCAAACAAAAGCTCACCGGACAAAAGCTCACCGGACAAAAGCTCACCGGACAAAAGCTCACCGGACAAAAGCTCACCGGACAAAAGCTCACCAGTTTTTTCACAAACCCTGACAAAAGCTCACCTCATTTTTTTTTCCATTTTTTTAGCTACCGCGGCCAAGACACGGACTGGAGTAACGTGCGGACGCGATGGACATTCTACCATTTTTAGGAGAACTGGCATCCCATCCCGTGCAAAGGTGTCAACAGATAAGCCATAACACGCAGAGAAGCAACCATTTGGGCCAAAATTTAGGTCACGGAAATTCAGTGGAGCAGATAAGATCAAGCTTGCTTGGCTCAAGGTATGCCGGAGCACCTTTGTGCCACGCCCAAGAAACTTCGTGAACCGAAATTTTTGAACCCGAAGAGTGACCGAAGAAGCGAAGTCACCCGTTGTCGACCTCACATTTTCATTATGCTTATGTTACGCTAAACGCGCACCTAAAGGTTAGGCACCGTGTCTCTTCATTACTGATGCATTGGTTTTTTGGGGGGGTTCAGGTTAATAGTTAAAGTGAATGGCTCGGCAAATTAAATAATATAGAAAGCTGTGCGGGATTTTGGATGGGCTGGCGTTCCTTCCACCACAGCTTGTGCCCGAAGGACTAACCTACATCAGGGAAAAGTTTACCGGTGACATCGGCGACCTGCTGGACTACTTTGATTGGACGTATGTCAGTGGTCCCTTCCGTTACGCTTCTGCTCCTTCCGCGGCGGCACCCAGAGCGAATTCTTCTTCCCTTTGCCTGACTCTGTGCCGACGACGACCGGAGTTTCCCCCAAAACGGTGGAATATGTCTGACGCCTCTCTTCAAGATAAGACCGGACATACACCTGCGAAGGATGGAATACCGGGTTGCAGTTTTTAACGGTGTGGCATAACTCAGTGATAACGTCCCTGCTTCGCACGCAGAGGACCAAGGTTCGATTCCCCGAGGGCGGAGGGTGATCTTTTTTAAGGATTTTGCAACATCGACGACGAACGCACTGCATCGCCAACAGCAACATCAGCAACACCATCAGCCACAACAACAACGTCAACGACGGGCGTCATTTTCAGGGGTGCGAAGAACCTAAAGCAGCTATGGCTCTCAAAATACGTTGTCGACGAAACGTCGCAGAAGCGTATACCCACGAAACGTGTGTCCATGAAATGTTTGTAGATGAAAAGTTTTTCATGAAAGCTGTTTTGACGAAACAGTAGGGAGCCATACCAAATCCTCCATTCATATATATGTCAGCCTTTGTCTAGATCGCGTCGGGTTGAAACAAAGTATATCTGCAGTAGCGTCCCGATTTTCATTCTAAATTAATGACTTCATCCGGGATGGCGTGTTTTGGAATAAGTAATAGCCCGTACCGTGCGTTACATCTAGCATAAAGCCATTAAAAGTTCACTGCCTTGACCTATTATCAGCGAGTCACCCAGTAAATGAGCGGCAGCATTGAGATAAATTAATCCGAAGACGTCTTAGGTAGCACTCCAGAGAAACGTCCAACATGGCACGAACTCGGGAATCCCAATGGCCTAACTTGGGCCTAACTCGGTTCTGGTCCAAGCCGTTAGTTAGAGCCAGAGTATTTTTATTTGACGTTACTATGCTTTCCTCTGGCTTGCTACGTAATTCCTAAATACCAGACTTGAGACAAAGATGTCATATATAAACCCAAGTACCACCAGTGAAGCCGAAACCCCACACTAGATTGGCAAGCTATTGCCAGGATAGTCATTTTCTAACCAAAGTTGCACAACTCCGACACTGCGTTTCTCCTCCGGAGGTTTTAAGTCCCTAAATTCTCAGACAGAAAGCGGATGTTGGCCCAAAGAACTGTGCTACCTGGGCTGGTACACGGAACCAATGTAAGCCTTAGAAACTCCTAGAATAACGCACGCACGAGTTAAGACAGACATAGAACGAGCTTAATTTGATTGCGATCAAAACACTCACCTTACCTTAATTGATGTTTCTACAAACCTCCGACGTGCTGTAGCGTCGCTGCAATCAGAAACCGCTTGTTAAACTCTCTGTTTAACGAACAGTTATCCTCTAAACAACTGAGCTTCCACGCTTCTACTTGGAGAGCAAAGAAAGCTTGGGGATTGAAGCCGACACTTCACAAGATAACCAAAACGTAGGTTGGAAACTCGCGCTCCATAGACTCGGCAATTGTGTTAACTCCGAAAGGGAATGATAAGAGATAAGCTTTTGTTCCTGAGAATTGGCAAGGGCATTCGTTTTGTCTTGAGTGATAAACGTTCCGGGCATGGGTATGCGCCTGGAGCGCGTCACCGACTGGGGCTCTAATCTGGACACTTGAAGAAAAAGTAGGCCAGGAATCCTGCATTCCTGATTGGCCGGCGCCGTGCTTAAGCTTGGCGGTCGAAATTCGGGCCGACGTTTAGGCCAAGTGTCCAGATAAGTGCGCCTGGTGTGTTCACCTAGTCCTAAAAAAGTTGTCCCTCGATTTCCGCCTAATGACGGCAAAAAAGGTGTCATGTTTTCACCGGACGCGATCCTGGCGGTGTCACAGAAGCGGTAGTGGATGAGACAGATGTCGGTCCTGCTGCAAGTCGCCGTCCAATTTGACAGTTCACGGAAGCTTTAGTAGCAGGGAATTGGGAACTCAGTGACAACATAGAGATCAGTGTTCGCATGTACGTTCTATCGGGGGTTTAGAGCACTAACCGCCAGAATCGCGATGTCCGATAACTTGACACGCCGGCGCCTGGGACGCAATTTGCTGCCCCTTCGGGACAACTTTTGATATATGACAGGGAATGGACTCGAAACACACCAGACGAAGAGGCGTTCCAGCCATCGTTGGCAAGGGTCCACTCATGACGTTCCATAGTCCATTAGTCCATTATGAATCAATTATTGATTTTCTCGAGTGGTACATTTTACACCCTGCAATTTCGGCCATAATACGTGTATATTTGATTCCTGATCTTAGATTTATGGTGTTAAAAGCAATTTCTTACGACATGTCTGCTTTTTCGTACCATTCTACCCAAACAAAAGTAAGTAGCTTCAAGGTTAAACAGTGGAGCTATATCAATACAAGAGGTGTCCGAATTTTCACTCACCGAGCTTTAAAGACACGAACTAGCGGTCTGCGCAAGTGAAACCAAAATGTATGTTGCTTTAATAACTAACAGCTTCGGAGGTGAGTTATCTTGTTCACGTTTCTTGCTTCGTGATTCTTTCGTCGGCGTTCTCATCGACCAATGTGGCATTAACAAATGGTTCACACAGAATTGCGACTGTTTACGACCGCGTACGTTAAAACCGCTTGAAACCTGTTACGACGAGAGAACACCGTGGCGCCATCTATCGGGTAGCCGTGGAACACACGGCCTTTCCATATATTTAATGTCGCTTTCGCGCGCCATTCTTCCTTTCTTGGCTCGAAAAACGCTTGGCATTGTTATAAACGACCATTTCTCGTAGGTAGTGCGTACCTATGATTTCGCAAATACCGCAACACCTTCGCTCTAGTGAATGGAAGTTTCAGGGTCGCCTCATAAATCGCACAAGTGTGCCATGGGGTTCAGAGCCGTGTATTGGAAGAGTTTGGCCAATAGGCGGAGCAAAGGCCGCCGCCAGCGCCAAATATTCCCCGGCGCTTAGAGCGTAAACTAAATTTGTAACACAGCGTCGACGAATCAGGAGACCGCGACGTCACAATATGGCAAACGACATTTAAAGACTGAAATAAAAGAGTTCAATCTCGGCTTCTCTACTCCATCTCACAAATGTCTGCAGTAAAGACAAAGGCACAGGCGCGTGAGCCTGGCTCAGCAAAACGCTTCTGTTTGTCCGAGAACTCGTGCATAGCAGGCACTTTCCAAAGCCACGCGCTCGTGCCCATGCCTTTGTGTGCACTGCTGATGATTGTGCAGATGGAGTATAGGTGACAGTTCGCTCTGGGCCGGCTTGCTAGAACAGCGTCTAAGCTAAGAATAACTGAAAAAAAAAAAGAGTGGTGGGGCGCGCGAGTGTCTTGAGACGTGGAGTCCCGCTCGGCTCGTGCGCTGGCTTTGGCAGTGCTTTCTTTCCCCGTCTCGGCTGAGACGCTGTTTCTAGCAAGTCGGCCCTGGTTTGGAGCGCACGTTCGTTTATTCTACACTTGAATATTGGCGTGACGAAAACCGCACATGCCCAAAGTTTTCAGTCACCGAGAGCTAAACCTTTTCATTCTAGCCACGCTAAAACGGCTCAAGTTAGTCGTGTCACATACTTAGAGCACACGACCACCGCTAGGGGCTGTTTCGCGGCCTGTGGTAGGCCCCGGGATGCTCGCCTATTCAACCCAATGTATGGCCAAACTCTCCCAATACATGGCTCTGATGGGGTTCAGAGCCGTGTATTGGGAGAGTTTGGCCATACATTGGTTTGAATAGGCAAGCATCTCGGGAACAACCACAGGCCGTGAAACAGCCCCTAGCGGTGATTAGCTTCAAAAACGCGGCTGGACTAATTAAGCCGATTTAGCGTCGCTCGAGTAAAAAGGTATAACCCTTGGGTGACCGAAAACTTGGCGCATGTGAGGTTCTCGTCACGCCGATATTCATGAGTGGAATAAACGAACGTGCGCTCCAAACCAGGGTCAACTTGCTAGAAACAGCGTCTCAGCTGTGACGGGGAAATAAAGCACTGCGAAAGCCAGCGCACGAGCCGAGCGGGACTCCTTGTCTTAAGACGCTCGCGCGCTCAAGCCTTTGCTGTTTTCTTTCAGCCAGTCTTAGCAGAAACTCTCTTGTAGCAAGCCGGACCAGAGCAAACTGTCACCGATAGACCATCTCACAAACATCTGCAGTGCAGACTGAGGCACGGGCATGAAAGTGTGGCTTTGGAAAGTGCCTCCTATGCACGAGTTCTGTACAAACACGCATTACGCAGAGCTAGGCTCGCGCACCTGTGCCTTTGTCTTTACTGCAGACATTTGTGAGATAGAGTAGAGAAGCCGAGATTGAACGCTTCTATTTCACGCTTTAAATGTCGTTTCCAATATTGTGACGTCGCGGTCTGCTGATTGGTCGACCCTGTGTCGTGCCTTTAGTTTACGCTCTAACCGCGGGGCGAGTATTTTGCGCTGGCGGCGGCCTTTGCTCTGCCCATTGGCCAAACTCTCCTAATATACACAGTAAAAGTTTTTACACCCTTAAGGGTGTACACCAGTTTGTCCCAGGGCTAACACCCTTAGGGTGTTCAGGCAAACACCCTTTATAATGGGTGCTTGCCAAACACCCCTGGTAGAGGGTGCTTGCCGTAAAATGGGCGCCCCCTGGGGTGGCCCAGTGGATGCTGGGCCACCCCAGCCAATCCAGTGCCGGGAGAGTATCATGCAACGTTTTGGTTATGTGGAGTTCAAGCTCACATGACACTCTGCCGATGCTGGATTGGCCGGTAGCGTCTGCCACACTCGGACGAAAGCTGAAATGAAGCATAGTAAAAATTTTATAGGCATGTGTCCAATACACATATCAGAAATTCTAAATTGTACGAAAATCATATAAAGTATTGGATATTCTTATCATGATTCTCAGCTTATCATGTTTACTAAACACATTTACTTTTTTTCACCTGGGGGGGTATTGCCAAATCACATACAAGGCACATGATAAAGAAAGAACGAGTCGCATTGAACGCAACTCACTTCATGAAGTAATACAAAAGAGCTACTTGCAAGCCACATCATAAGCCTGAGGGCAACTGGTAGTGCTTCCGGTGCCGCCCTTTCTCGAACTTCAAGTGAGCAAGCAGTGGCCCCAAGCATCGTACTGCACGGCTAAACCATAGTTATAAACATAATGGGCTTTTACAAATGAAGCATGTGGAGCTTTCCTGTTTGGAGATCAAGTGCCAAGTTTTGTCTCAGAGGATTGCAGGAAACACGCTTCACTCATCTCCTTAAGCATATCTATTTACTAATTGGAAGCATGGCGGTCTAGCCCTTGACTGAACCACAGCAGTATTTCAGTAAGTGAAGCTCATTATGACATCAATTAGAATGTGTAAAATTGAACATTTATTGTGCCCTAAAAGACAAACGAAAAAAAAATACAATGTATGCCATTCCTTGACATAAACAATGCTATCTGCCAACATGTAATGAAAAATATCACAGAAATCTCAAGTACAAAGAAAATTATAAAGTTTTGGAAAGTGACTAGGAATGAGGAACCCCCGTACAGATAAATTATACCTCACCTACAGGAGGTCGGCATAAGTTATACATTAAAAGACAGAAAAAGAAAACATGCCTCCATAAAACATTCTATCATTTGTTCTGTAAGCAAAATAAAAATTAACCTGATAATACTGTCGCGAAAAGTGCAATATCCACATAGAGGGTGTTTCACGAAAAGTGGACAAATTCGATATTGCGAAAACTATGGGTCGCAACAAAAAAAAAGGCTTGTGTCATTCTGGTCCTGGACGAGGAGCCTAGTTAGGAAAATGATTAAAGTCCGGGATAATTAGATTGTTAATTATTTTTGAGTAACTAACTTTTTAATATTGTGTTTTAGGTTATGGTTTTAATTAGAAAATTGCTCAGCATCATTGAAAAACACTAGATCAACATATTGCACAACAACAGAAGGCGTGCACAGCATTTTACGGCTTTCTGAAAAACAGTACAAATTCGACGGGTTTTTAAGTTTCGTTTTGCAATTGGAGCACATCTCGGCCCCGATTGCACCGCGCCCCATGGAGAAATGGCGCAAGCAACCTCTGCTGCGATGTCCTTGCGCAACGCAGCAGAGGCTGGTTGCACCATTTCTCCACGGGGCATGGTGCCGTCGAGGTCGAGATGCGCTCCAATAGCAAACCGAAACTTAAAAACCTATCCCATTTGTGAGGTTTTTCAGAAAGTCGTAAGATGCTGCACGTGCCTTCTATTGTTGTGTAATATGTTGATCTAGTGTTTTTCAATGATGCTGAGCAATTTTCTAATTGAAACCATAACCTAAAACACAATACTAAAAAGTCAGTTACTCAAAAATAATTAACAATCTAATTATCCCGGACTTCAAAAGTTTTCCTAAATAGGCCTCGAGCCCAGGGCCAAAACGACACAAGCCTTCGAGCAGTTTTTGCAATATTGAATTTGTCCACCTTTCGTGAAACACCCTGTATAACCTCCTGAGACCCTGCGTCCACCAGTGTAAACATTGGGTTTTGAATTGTAAGAAGAAGAAGAAAAAAAAAAAAACTTCGTTGCACACAGAAAAGGACGCCTGTCCACCGTCATGGACGTAGTCTGTGCTGCCATCTGGAGGAGTGTTGAGCAAACAGCACTGAAAACTTGTTGCTTGCTGTTAAAAATGGCGACCTGCAGCACTCGCATGTTCTACGGGCGACGCCAAGGTATGTAATCAGTTTATGTGATTTACACAAACGGAGGCTGTGTTAATTTATATTTCTAGAGTTCTTGAAAGTTCACAGATGGTCACTAATGCTTAATATTTTCAACAGTATTAGCAAGGGTTATAGTAGTCCCTTGTCAAACTGTCTACGTGGGTGGACGCTGGGACCCAAAACTTATGACACGAATTTCGCGATGATCATGTTTTGCTCGCACCAATCTGAAACACTCGCGAAGTGAAAACAATTGGTTTGATTGATTGTGCTCGATTTACAGGACTAACAAGTCAGGCTGATGCCATTTTAGAAAGTTTGTGCGGTGCCACAGGTTCCGCGCAAGAGAGTCAAGCCACTGCCGAACTCGCCAGTCCAGACGGCGCAGGCACTTCACGTGCCAAAGAAAGAAGACGTCAAGAATGCTACACAGTGCAGGAACCCTGGCTCCTCAAAGAAAACTCAGCACCATTGCACGTCCTGTGAAATCTACCTCTGCACTGAATCTGACTGGCACTGCTTCTTTGATTTTCGTACCAATAAATGAGCCTCATTTCTCTGCCGGTATCACTCCAGTTTTGCTATTCTTCCCAAAACCTATTTTGTAAAAATTAACTTATAAAATGTTGAATAAAATATGTGTTCATTTTCCTTACTTGAACTGTAAAGCCCCACTGTCCCGTGGGTGGACATCCATTTTTACAGAGCCTGCAAACTAACACCGTAAAAAAAAAAAAAAAAAAAAGAAAAAGCTCAAACTGAACCGTAACGAAGCAGTTAATGCGCGTGTGGTTGAAGCACAAATCATTGCTTCAACCATGCACGTGCCTGCAAACTTTGTTTAAAAATTTAATTACCACTGCCCTTGGAGTTGTGTGGCTCATGCCGAGAAAAAGCCTCTCCAGAGTGACGAGCATGTTGAAGGCCTTCCGTTCATATTGTATACTGAACAACCAATAGGCTACCAACAACATACACAGCCCCTCCTCGGCATTTGGAACGGAGAACAACCTCTCACGATCAACAACCAGGTGAAAGAAGTCTGCATCCTCTAAGTCTTGCCCGCTGTACAGGACACACGGTGTCGGTGGGATGTTTTCATCCTGCGTTAGGTAAAAGGAAAAGGCACAACATATTTTAATGTAGAAGGCCAAAACATGTTTGCTCTTGTCAACTGCTATTATTCACTCCAGTTCAGGCCATGAGCATTGCTTATGTTTAAATAAGTAACCGGCATCTGCAACAATGTAAAATGAATGAGGAATTACAATTGGGGAAACATCACGACATGAAAATATTGCGATATAAGCTTAGAGATATATTTTAGTATCTCTATTTCAGTATGAAGATGCATTTGTGAAACCTATTTGCATTTCAATAGTGAGATACTTTTCCGATGCATTATGATACGCTGCTAGACTTATTTATTGTTGGAAATGAGTACAGGTCTGGAGATAAAAAAAAATAAAAGTCACGCCAAAAATCTGACGCATCACTGGTTCGTTTTCACCATGAGAGTGATTTTTTGCTTTGCTATCACATCTCACTTTTACAGTGGCCTGGTTTCTTTATGCGGACAGCAGCCTTCCTGTGTACATTTGAGCAGACTTGTACGTAATCCGTTACAAGTAACGAAATTACTTGTAATCCCTTACATTTATCAGTAATTTAGTAACGGAATAATTACATATTTTCTAGAGTAATTTTAAAGTAATTCCGTTACACTTTTTGCGTAACGGATTCCTTGTAATCCGTTACATTTCTTTTTCAGGACCAACCCCCCCCCCCCCTTTGTAAAGAAAGGGTTGTTTTTATTTTGGTAAAGTCGAGCGCAGTGACACTGTCACGCGAATTGACCAGCGCAAAGGGAGGCTTAGCACTCTTCAGTTGCGCAATGCCTTTTTTGTTTTGCAACACCAAGCCCCTGAATCTATTTTTTTTTAGACCCTAACAACAATGTAAAAAAATCCAAATAAATATTTCTACAAAAAAAAAAAAAAAAAAAGAGGGAGGGGGCAAGTTATATCCGCTCTTTTTAGTCCCTTTGTTTTTTCTTTGCGATCGAAAACTGGGAGAGGAGGACACAAGTGATTGTGTGCCTCTTCGAGAAGCTCAAGGTGGTAAGTGGACAAAAAAAATTAACAATGCCCTTCTCGGTTATAGGGACTACGACCATTTCCATAATGTCACAAAAAGAGACAACGCTCCGCCTGCCCTAAAATCCACTAAAAGAGATGTGATAATATGTGAAGGTGTTATTGCCGCAAGCATCCTCGTTCGTTGCTGCACACTTATCATCTTCTCTTAGAAAACAGGATGTACATTTTTCTGCATTTTTCACATTATTTGACCCCGTTTTAAAAGCTACTTAACCTCTAGGGTTAGCCCTCTTTATTTGTGAATTCCAGCCATGTTATCTGCCTCTAAGTCACCCTTTTTGTGAGTCAGCTTTTTGCGAGCTCTTGGAAAATGGTAATAGTCTTCCTTTCTTCTTTTTTCTGTTTTGCCCCAGCAGGACGCATCTCATCTCAAGCAGATATTTTTACAAATAAAACATAATGGTGGCTGACGTACACTTGATATTCAATGCTTGAGGGGTGAGTGAAACTCGTGAGTGGGGCCATAGCGCGGCTTACTTAGTACTCTGCCCTTCGCTGCCCGTGGCATCAGCGGACCTCTATCTGGAGAACACCGGAGTAAACTGCAGTCGGTTCGTGCTCCATGCGGTTTTGAACGGCACCAAAAAGGTACACACGGCAAACGTGCGTTTACATTACCTTGTTTTAACCGACGCTCTAAGTTGTTATGAGTGTCCTTTTTTTTTTAGTACTTATATTTATATACTAGGAACTTTGTTTGTATTCACCAACGTCTCAACCGAGGCTCGACCTCTTCATAACCAAAGGAAAAAGAATATGGAGCCAAACCTTATTTATTATTTAATTATCACCTAACTGTTACAACTATGTTTTGCTATTGCCTGGCAATATATGGAGGTATAGTAAGATGGACATAAATCAGTTTTTTTTCTAGTTTTGGCTAGACGACATGATGACTTCCACAGCTTTGCGATTTAGACAATGGAGAATTTTAGTAGATCGGTCCGATGACTCCGATAACGATACCCGATACCCCGCCACCGCCTTTGCGCATGCATCATTGTTATCGGGGGCATCGGAGGAATCGGAACGATTTACTGAAGCTCTCTTATATCAAAAAACGGCTGCAACGACGAAGCTTTGTTCTATCTTCCAGGTAAATAGTACTTCCATTGCTTTGCTGAAGAAGCTCAATGCACACCATAAAGCATTCATCAGGAACAATATGGCAGTCCCATCCAGTGCCTCAGTTCAGTGGGTGTTCAGCGTAGCAGTCGACATATTGAGTAAGAAATAACCCAAAATGTCTGGCGAGACTTTCGAGTGCCAGCTGTTGCTCAAGAGACTCAGGGTCATTAAATGGAACAGGTGGCAACAATAAGAACTTGAATAACCCCCTTCCCTTTGTTTCTTACTTGAGGAAAATAATGTTGAAAGTAACGCCACGAAAGTAACGGATTACTTTTAGGTGTAACGGCCACTTACTTTTATGCAAGGGTAATTGTAATTGTAATAAATTACAATTCAGCCTCGAGTAATTGTAAATGTAATTCCTTACTATTTTTCAGTAACGTGTACAAGTCTGCATTTGAGGTTATTGTTTGGATAAGAGGACACCAACAAATGCACAGATGAGAAACAATACGTGCAGAAGGAAGAGAAGACAAAAAGCAGGGATGTTTGCGCAGACGCGCTTTGTCAGGCAGTGTCATCGGTCGTCAGCGCTCATTGGGTGCAATAATGGGTTCTTATCGGTATCAGCGAACATAGCCAAGGGCAGACAAGTTTCAAGGAGAAAAAAGGGGGCAAACACCGACAGAAGGCAGGCAGCTCAGGTGCTACAATCTATGTCTGCCATGGACGCACCCTGCTTACCTCGCCACCCCGCATTTATGAACCGTACAGGGCTACCGACTGACCATAACGGTACATGCTATTATTTGTTCGTTGGCCAATGTTAATTTTTTTGCTTCCTCCTCTACACTAAAAAAACCCAAAGATGAAGGTTCCAGAAAACAGCAAACATAACAATGTCTCGTATGTAGTTGTATAAATTAATTTTCACGAGCTACATTTACATTTTATGTGCAGTCGCTGGCCATATCTCTCCCGTCCGAACACCAACCGGAGCAGTGAAAATCCAGCATGAGGCACGTTGAGCATGGCTGTGTTTTGGAAGCCAGACTATTAGGTTTTTGGCGTTTCAGCCATTGTACCCGAAACTTGGTTCGCCTCAAATTTTTACTTTATATCTCTGTAATTTAGGTGGCCATTATCTCTTGAGCGTTACAGAAGTATTTGGGGCCTGGTGGGCCTAATGTTTGGGACACCCCATTAACAAAAGGGGCCAGGTGAACAAGCTGCTATTGAACTGTTGGAAGCCAGTTAACACGCTACACTGTCTCTGTATTGAAAACCCTAGAAAGATCAGCATGCCTGCCGCCTTCCAGCCTTCATTGGTTTTTCAGGACTTGTATTCATGTGCATTTCACATGTTTGTTTCCTTTGACATCAACATGGTCACTAATATGTATTCAGAAGGCTCCAATTCTAGCCCCTGCGGGCACTATGAAAAAACATACCGTGAAAACAAAAAAAAAACGAACACTCTACCCACAAAAAACAACAAAAAAACCTCTTTAGTTAGCATTTATTTAACCCTGCTATATTGAAGGTAGGCTGGAACTTTGTTCTTGCTAGCATCAACTTTCGCAAAAATATAGTGAAATAACTTACATCTTCTTGCACGAACATTAGGGGCAGTGATGTTGACTCCTTGACGTTCAGTGCCAAAATGCGCAGAGTTGCAACAGTCAGGATGTCTGAAAAACACCAACAACATTTGTGCAAGATATCAAATACATTTTTGTACTCTTCGTTGCACGTGTCCTGGACGGTTTCAGAAAAAAAATGTATGCATTGTTCTGCTTATCTTCCAGTAGGATCAGTGACAATGAGGGAACTTCAGACTCCACTAAAAGAAAAGAAGGCAACACACCAGAACGACCTAAATGGGTGCAACATAATATTATAGATAAGCCATTGGACATGTCACCAAATGGTATGAAACAATTCAAATCACCACGGGGAAATAACCTTGGGAGTATGATACAAACTCCCAAAGTTATTCCCCATACACTGGTGTGCAGCCCAAATGTCTGTCCTCTACGGCCCTCCACCACGCTGCCTGCACCTTGGCAGAGGGTTCTCCTCTGCCAAGGCGCTGCGCATGTACAGCTGCAGCAGAAAAAGATTAGCACGAGCGACCAACGACCAGAGCGGCAAAATTGCAGCACGTAGCACTATTGTTTCCGAGCGCGCTGATAGCGAGAGTGCCAGTCACGTTCCATCTTTCAATACAGGGGAGGCCAGCACAAAGCAGCCTACCCTAAAGGCCGCATTTTGAAAGCTATAGTTTCGCTTACTTCTCAGCCGAGCAATGCGCCAACGTGGTTGCACACATAAACTCGGTTATTTTTTTTACAGTGGAGCTGTTAGCGGCTAGTTTCCCCAGGGTCGTGTCAGTCCTCAAATAACCCGATGACACAGAACTCTGGACAGCTACCGCCATATATAGGAGACGGCAGCAACCATCATAGATGGCCGCAACCTTTCCACTCTGGCCTGCCGACTAGCGATCGGCCATTACTTCATTCCCACCATAGTGCAGCTCCGCTAGTCTTCCTTCCTCAACAAAAGAGAAAGACTGAAAGTTTTTTGTTTGTTTTTTTACTATCTTTTCCCATGCATGCATTGAATGGTGGTATTTTATCGCTTGGTCGAAAAGCCTCCCTTGCGCAGCGGTTTTCTTACTGTACTCACGCCGTGTCCTGAGCCTCCCCAGATCCATGTGCGGTGCTGCTTGCAGTGTAAGTAGGACATGCTCCTGGCAGTCGATCGCCTTCTTTGTGGCCAACAGAACGATCTTGTCAATCCCTTTTGCGACTTTGTCGGCCAGGTTCATCTTCGTGAGCCTCTCGAAATCTTTAGCGAACTTCACAAAAGAAAATATAAAAATTGAAAGTTCAGGAAATATGCCACGGCATTTCTTTAATAAAATTTACAAAGAAATTGGCACTTGTTCATTAATTTAAATAAGGGAAACAAGAAACAACGCCTAAATTCAAATTTTACTGGCACTACCATTTACCGAGTCTAGGCCAACTCACCGAAAGCCAACTCATCGACGGTAAACTCGTCAGCAGCCCATTTGTCGAATAGGCCGAATCGTCATAAGGCAAATCGTCGAAGAAAAATTAGTCGAAGACGCCAACTGGTCGCCGCTGTTTCAACGCCATAATATATAATTTTGTCCTGAAATGTTAAAGCAAATCCTGCCCTATAGTAATGCGTAATATCGCCGTAACGTAATAAACATCCAGTGCGCTCTTTCTTGTCGAAGATAACAACTTGCAGCTTTCTCCACTTTCACGGTGCAGTGGGGGACAGTTACTACGTCGCGTGTGCATCACTGTGGCACGTGTGAGTTTGCTTGGCCTACCCGTCCACGCTGCTTCGCGGCAACAGTCCGCAGCGGCTCATTACAAAAAGTAATAAAGAAAACTAGCAAAAGGACAATCCCGAAATTTACATTTCTAAACTTGTCTCAAGGTACTGTCCTAAAACCTAAAAAGACCGCTGTCCCTAGTCCAAACACAAATAAAAATTTAGATCAAAAGATAACAAGGAACCATGAACTTTTACCTGGGACCGTCATTTAACCCATTCGAGGAATCGGCCTCGAATGGGTTAAATGACAGTCCCAGGTTGCCTTTCGACAAGTTGCCTTTTGATGAATTGTCCTACAACAAATTGGCCTATACTACGAATTGACTGTCGATGAGTCGGCTTTCAGCGAGTTGGCCGAATCCCCCATTTACCACAACTTGAAGGTGTGGGAAGGGCTTTAGGAACAAACATACGAACACACAATACGCAAGTTTCTTTTTTTAGTAACATTATTTTTTTTAACTTCCCTTTGCTTCTGAAGTTCTTTATATGTCTATTGACTTGCCAAGCAAGTCTTGCAAGAGTGCAGAGAAATAATTGGTACTACAGACATCACGCTGATGAAATATCAAACCTTCTTCTTCACATGCAATCTCTTACTCTTTTCTTTCGGACCCTCGAGTCCTTTTCATGCAGTATGGCATAGAGTTGATAGGATCTCCAAACCTGGCCTGTGAACCATAGCTTCCAACTAAGTCGTTGGTCGCTGCATTAGCTAGGATGTTGCTAACACTCAACAGGCTCCCTCGCTTGGCTGCTCTGCCTTGAAATCGCATTGCCTTGTCGCCTGTCTCCTCTTAATCCGGTTTTTCATTTCCATTACCTATTTTTATCTGTACCACTGTATTTTTTATTGCTTATAAATGTTTCTATTCTCTTCTGCACACGCCGCTTCGCGTGTCGTTCCGCGGGTGAGTACTACCATTGCTACTGATTCCTATCGTGCTGTTAGCTGTTCATTTTTGGTTCATTTGACCCAGGTGTAGTCGAGAGGAGCCGTTTATGAACACCCGCACCCATGTCATAGGGGTAGGCAGAGCTCTGAATCAACAATCACGACGCGAGAGCCGAGTGCGGTGCGAGTCAACAAAGCGAGTGCAGGTGGCTCAATCGCACTCGGCTCTCGCGTCGCTTAGTTGACTGGCACTGTAGCATGTGCCTTCAATACCGCTTACTTGAGTAAGATACAGCCCGCCGCTTTGCTGTCACGAATCATTTGTCTGAATGCCTGCGAAACCGTAACACTGTTCGGCATGTCCAACTTTGCAGCGCCTCACAACTGCACGCAGTTGTCTTCACCCAAACGCTTCGCAGGACGCTGTCTTTTGGGAAGCAGTGCCAGGAAACATGCCGTCCGCCGGCAGTACTGTTTGTACAGCCTGGCACACAGCAAACTGTACTATGAGGGCATGTTACTGCTGAAGGTGACCTAAAGAAATAAAATACCTTGAGCTGACATCTTGACTAGAGAAATAAAATTATCGAAGGAACTACGAGTTTCAAGATGACTGCCTGGGAGACAGCACACCTCTGCACTTGAAAAGGGGTGCTTTTAACTGACAACCGCTTAGCAAGTAGTTTAAGAAGGCATACTATAAGCGCACACAAGCCGCGATGTTGGGCCGCCCGGCGCTTGCGAAGGGCTCGCGCCGCTGAGCGCAGTTTGTCAGGCACCGCAGCGTTGGATATGACAAACGGTGCTACGGCTTTGCAGGCATTCGGACAAATGATTCGCGGCAACTTATCTCTGCACTTGAAAAAGGGCGTTGGCAAATGACAACCGCTTAAAAGAAAGATTATGAAGGCATGCCATAGGCACATTCAAGCCGCGACATTGAGCCGTCGGCATTTGCAAAGGGATCGCACCGCAGCGCGCAGTTGTCAAACGCCACAGCGTTGCATATGCCTCAGCTTTGCAAACATTCGGACAAATGGTTCGCAGCGACAAAGCAGCTTGCTGTATCTTGGTCAAGCAAGCGGCACCCGAAGGCATACGCTGCACTGCGAGTCAACGGAGCAGGCGCGGGCGGCTAAATCACAGCGCACTCTGCTCTCGCGTCGCAATTCTTGATTTAGAGTCTGCCTACCCCTATGACATCTGCGTGGGTGTTCATAAACGGCTCCTCACGACTGCACGCGGGTCAAGTGAACCAAAATGAACAGCTAACAGCACGACAGGAACCAGTAGCAACGATAACACTCACCCGGAGAACGACACGCGAAGCGGCCTGTTGTTCGTCAGCACTCCCGTCGAAAAAGGCATAATAAAGGCAAAAACTATATATATGCAAAAAATACTGCGCACAGAAGAAAATAGAAACACTTAGAACCAATAAATATACACTTGAACATATAAAAATAGGTAATGAAAGCAAAAAACAAGATTATGAGGAGACGAGCGACGAGGCAATGCGATCTCAAGGCAGAGTGGCCAGGCCAGGGACAGTCTCTCCCACAATTCCTCGCGCGCGGGCCAGGGCGCTTGGGGGATTTCGCAAAAGGGCTATTGAACGAGGAAATGCACAGAATGCGTCCGGTTCTCTGTGCAACTTTTTTTTCCTCAATAATCTTATTAACAGCTTTTTAGAAGTCACAAAAAAAGGGTTTCATCTTTTTGCTATTTTTAATATTGACTGTGTGCCTTCAATGACCCACGACTTTGATTAAATTTGGTGGTTGTGTCTAAACCTTAGAAAACAGCCCGTGATCACAAAGAGAGAGAGCGCAACTCGAACCGGCCAGTTCTCGTGGCGGTCCTCGGGCGGAAAGAAACTGAATTTTGAGCCTCAAATTCTGTTCTGGGCAGTTGGGTTCTCATAAGCCATGTACAACTAAAAACATCGGCGAGCATTAACACCCTGTCAGTGTCCCTTCAATAAGAGTTTCTGTATTCAAACAAGAGTACAAAAAAAAAGTCAACAACACCTTCGTATTCAATAAAGCGGAAGAGTAGCAGCAATGACTCACTCGCTGAGAGTCCATCAGGTATGGGTACCTTGTCCTAACAGCATCAATGCCCATTTGTGCCATGTCAGAGAGCCTCTTCCTCGCAGTGAGAGTCATCCTTTCATGGATTCCTTTTTCATCAGGAGCTGCCTTTCGTCCTTCTCGTATAAGCCATTCCTCATGGGCGATCAGGCTGGCTTCGTCCTCTCCAGCCAAAGCCGAAGCAGTGATGTTCTTGAGAGGCATGATCGAAAGGGCGCGATTTAGACATGAATATTCATTAACAGAAGGACAACAACTGACTACCTTTTTAGTGCTTGATGCTCTTAGCATGCCAAAATTTCTGATAAGGTAAAATTGAATTCAATCATTTGACCTAACATTGCCCAAGGCATTACCCTACGGGAGCACAAACAGTAGAAAACACACAATATAAAAAAGGAAACAGTCCAGATAAAAATATATAACATATTTCCTTGCACCTTGCTCAATAAATGCACCCCCAACTTTGTATCACGAGGTGGGAACGTTCAAATTTTTTTATGCGCCACTTTGAGCGATAAACAGCTAGACGATCATGGGAAGGAACGACCTCCATCTCCAGGTGGCCAAGCCAAGCCGGGGTCGTGGGAAGAAATGAACCTTCCGCCATTTTGCAATAAGCTTTTTTCCGAATCGGGGCGGCCCCTGGTGAGGAGATGCCAAGAAATGAATTCCGGGTACTAGCGGGCCATTTAGTTCCGGCTTCAGATATTTGCCATGATTATTGTGTCATAATGGAACTCGCTACTTCATTTTCACAACTGAGACATCCCACAAGTGTAAAATACCATAAATGTCGCCAAGCAATTAAAAAAACACTGGCCACTATTTTATTGGTTTCGAGCATGCCAGGTTTTAAGCAAAAAAATTGCAGGTGCCTTGGTTGATGTTTTACGCGAGAGAAACTTCAGCATACTTGCGATTGCACATGTTTCGTCGCGCAAGCAGAGACAACGCCTGTTCGACTGAAACCATGTCACTCAGCTTCGCAGCCAACTGTTCCGAGCGTGCAACGCATGCAATGTTGCATGGCAGGATTTTTGAAAGTTGCCTATAGACCTTTCAAGCGGCAGTCTCGAACGAAGCGATTTACAGCAGGCATCCCTGGTTTTGAGAGGATAAGTCAGTGTTGCCAGACTGCGCTGAGCTGTGGAGTTTCTCGTCAGTGGGCTGTGGCAGCCTGCGTGGGCACACTTTCGGACGCTGGTGGAGGCTAAATTGCCGTGTTCTATTTTTCTTTTGTATTCTATGGCAAATAGAATTTCTCGGGGTTTTTAAGAATGCTCTGTACTATTTTTGAGAACAAAAACAAAGCAACGAAAGCTGTTTTGGTGAGTCCGTGAGCGACAGAACGAATGCAACTGGGATGTTTGTTTTATTTTATGTTGGTCTTTTTACGGCACCATACACTCCGCCTTGTCAATCTACAAAGATCTTAACCGTCAAAAATATTTGACCGCACAGGATATTCAAACTGCATAGATTTACTCGCCCACAAAATGAAATTCAACGAGTCTCATCAATCGAACAACATATATTGTACGTACCCCACAATGCCGCGTTATCCGAACAGGATTTGAGAAAGGTCTCAAATAACACAGCATATCCAATAAACAGTGTCGACGATAGTAACTTCACGACGATCAGACGGAATCCGGCGTGTTTTGGGCACATGTAGAAGAGAGCTGCTTTTTTGCACAGCTTCAAAGCAAACACTCCGGACCCGACCCTATCAGCTATTTTTCGCGAAGACTCGGAACACAAGTCGGGAAGGCTTTCTGGAGATTATCTCAACGGAAATAATCCTTCAAGAATGTCGAACTGCCTCCGTCACGACTCGCGAGTTGCTTGACGTTCACTCTCTTCGTTTGTTTCCTGCGAAGGCCGAGCAGGCTATGAGCCCTGGTATTCCCTGGTTCTCACAGTGCATGATAGCACACAAAGGGTAAGCATCCTAAACAGGCAAATAAAGTAAAAATTTCCAAGAAAAGTTGGCGAACTCTGAATGCACAATGCAGCTGGGGAGTCATGCTGACCGGGTTTCCACAGCTCAGGCAGGTGGCAGAAATTTATGGCTGGTAGGGGCCGCTTGGTTCGCAAAATGGCGGCGGCCAGAGAGCTTTTTCTGCAAATGTCTATAGCTTATGGTTGCCCCAACAGCACGATCGTGGGGTTTCCACGATGGTTTCATACATTAGCTAACATGCGGTTCGAAGATTAAGGTTTTCAAGTATGCTACTGAACATGGCCGTCGCACAACAGGAAGAAATTGTAGTGTTAACGAAGTCTTGAAGATTGCTCATGTGCAAAGCTCTTTGGCGATGTGCAAGGAGCTTTACGTGCCAGTGATCTCGAAAACCATAGTGCGACAAGGGTAGTACTCTTTCTGCTCATTAGAGTGCTGCATGTTCTCAGATCTTATGGACATTGTGAGACAAGGACCCAAGAAGAAGGACGATTGCAGGAGGCTCCACTGGTTCCAAATCACTGATTGACACTTAATGGAAGCTCGCCTGGGATCTTGAGAGCTTCCAGGTGAGCTCCAATCTCAGGTGAGCTTCCAGTGAGTGCCAACCATCGAATCGGAATGAATCGAGCTCCCTGCCATCATCATCTTTCCGAATCCTTTCCACTCGAAAGCATTTCATGCTTCCACCTACTCGCGGAGACGGGATAAACCATTGTAGTTTTCCCGATTCGCGTTATCTGATTGATGGAAGCGTTTCGTTGATTTCTAAGGCAGACACTGATGAGTAGAAAGAAAACCATGCGTAGATAACAATTTGATCATCCACTATGCAGACACGATATCCGCATCCGAACCACATCAGCAATTTTTGATCTTCCAAGTTTATCCCGGAAAGTTTAAACATTGCCCCTCACCAGCTTAATCTTTTTTTGCCGCTTCAGCTGTGTGGCTGCACCTCCATCATTTGGTCTTTTTGATCCAAATTTTGCACGGTTTTCAGCAACCCGGACGTCGTCTGAAAGGCGACGTCTTTCATTTTTGAACTTGTACCGCAGTGCTACTCTCCACGAGTCCTGTAAAATAAAGAAATACCACAGCTTGAACAACTATCTAAATTTAAATTTAGGTCCAGCCATAGCATTTTTGCTGCGATATCAGTTATTGGGAGCCTACCAAGGGAATCGTTCCTGCGCCAAGGAATGAAATTATGGCGTCCAGCTATACTCTTTTCACCTTTGAGCTGGGGAGAGCTTTCTTTTTCACTAAAGCACCAAGGTAAAGGAACAAACGCGACTGACCCGTTTCCCACCCCAACCCAGACAACTATTTTTGGAGATGACCGAGGATTCTATGCGGATTATCTCTGGGAGGGGGGAGAAGAATGTTTGCAAAATCGCGTTGAGGGCAGTTCGACGTCCATCACTTCCTTCGTTTCCCATGAATGTCGAGCAGAAAAGCTTGAATGGCAGGCACTTACCAGTCTTATATATCACAATGGAAGATAACACAGAAAGGGTATGCAGCACTCATAAAAAAAATTAAGTGGGAACTTTCAAGAGGGGCGAGAAAACGTTGAATGCAAAACCGCCAAAACAGGTAGAGAACCGCACTGAGCGGGTGTTCACAGTCCAAGAGGGTGGCAGAAAATTTCTAGCTGATAGAGGGCCAGCTGCATCAGCATCAGCAACATGGCGGCGGCCTAGGAGCGTTTTTTGGAAAGATGTATAGAAGCACCAATGCTAAGAATTGATCGCAGCTATTATTATAAACGTGCAAAAGAAATGTGCTTACTGATCCAGTTCCTATAACATCTTGGAGCTGAGGGTACTTGTCAGTTAGTAGCTGAGTGACCTTGGAGTAAAAGTGCTGAGATGGGAACCTGCAGAAAAGTCGTGCCCATTCTTATGGCTCAACAATCTCTAATATTATAACCCACATTGTGAATCAATAGGTCCCGTATACAGACTGAGCCTACGCGAGGAAGATGCAAGGTATTGTTCAGATGGTACACAGTGCATCAATGTTTTAAACATGCCAATGACCCCCAATCGATTATAACTATTCGCACCAAATTTTCAGATATTTAAAAAAAAAAAGGAATATCTACACATTTTCCGCTTAGCAAATTCTTGTAATATGAATTTCGACAAAGAGACATGTTGTCCTATTGAAGGAAAACGAGCAAGTTACTTAAAGCTTCCATTAATTTTACACACCAGCAACACATACACCTGTAAATACAGCGAGGGCATGGATTGCTTCTAGCAAATGACAAGAAGTGACCTAACTAACCAAACATTTCTCTAGCCTGAACTGACTAATTTCATTTTTGGCGCAGCGGTCTCGACCAAGAAGCCTAAAATTCAGCACAAAGATGCACTTGTGAAACAACGCAAATAAGCCATCAATCTACTATGTTTACCACTGCACAAAATTTGGCAAGATAAGGACCAGAAAGAAGCAACCTAGCTTTTTTTCCGAATTACTTTTTTTTTTTTGTATACAAGGAGGGTTAGAGGGATTAAACCCACTTCAAATATATTGCAAAAATCAGTTTCACCTGCTTCGATACTGTGATTTAAGACATAGGTTTAGCTGGATACAGAAAGATACAGCAAGACAAAGGTTGACCGGTGCCCACAAAGAAGTCACCCATGAAAGGAACTGGAAATGATGAAGCTAGGAATAAGTCCGAATTTTGAGACCACCTTACTTACATTGTTATCTTCACCATTGCACGAAAGAGGAGCTCCACAATCTTTCGGAATGATGAAGATGTCAGAGGTTTGCCAGAGATGATCGTATCATGGAGAGCTCCAAGCTTGGGGAAAATGAAGGTGTTCCCATCGTCGTCTGAACACGAAGGCCTAAAAATAGTGCAATTATTTTATAAGAAAATGATTATTAAAAAAAAAAAGAAAAAAAATGTTGCTATGTAGAAGCATATAAAAAAAAAAAAAAAACAGAAATACAATAAATATGTTATAGGCGTCTCACATGCTTTTTCTCAACCTCATTTTAAAGCGATAGCTGTTATGGGCTCTTCACCCCCCTTTGAAATGATGGTGTAGAGAAACCGTCGTCGATATTGATGAATGCTCTAAAACATTTGTTACACTTTGCCGCTGCCAGGGATCGAACTATGGGCCTACTGTGTGTGAGCCAAGTGCTTTACCACCTGAGCTATCAGCTCTGTGTTCCCTGAATAAACTGCATGTGGTGAGGACACATGCGTGTATCAGTCTTGTGAAGCGCCCGTGTTCCTCCCAGGCACTTAGCCAGGGTCTTGTTTCGGAAGAGGGAGGGAGGGAGGGAGGGGGGGGGGGGGGCAGAGGCCAAATGCTGTATGAGGGGGAGGAGGGAGAGGAGGCCCCAGCAAAATGGAAGATATTGGGGGGGGGGGGGAGGGGGCCGGGCCCCATGGGCCCCCCTGGATACGTGCCTGGTTCCTCCATTGCCCAGGGAACGCAGCAGAACACAATGGTCCATGTACGTGAGATGCGTCAAAGAAGTAGATGAAACAAAACGGCACCGCGCAGGTAAAGCTACTAGCCGACATGTGATCCAAGCAAACAATAAATAAAAAGACGCGAACCAAAATGGCTAGATGTCACCACCCTAAGCAAAGCGCACATGTACGGTAGGCACCCGGTGAGACGCTAGTGCAGCTGGTATGAGCGTTTCCATTGATGCCACTTTGTCCGCCGTTCTATAGTGACAGCGGAATAGAAGCATTTCGAGGCTGCCTTGTATCACAACATAGCCTCTATAGTCGCAACCATTAAAACACACTTACAGCTCAAAGGGCTCGATGCCTACCAATGGTACATCTGGAGAGGAGTCATCTGGAGAAGTTTCATCTGGCAAGCTCTCTCTTTGGGCGGTTTCACAGTTTTCAGTGCGCACCGTCTCCAATGAAGCCTCCTCCTAAAACGAAAGGAAATCCCTGCAGTGTAAAGTTACTGGATTTGTGTTAAGGACCCCAGCAGGCTGTTTTAATGATATAACGGTTTGTACTTTACATGCTATAAGTAAGGTTTGGTGTATTTATTACTAATAAATGCCGCTAGATGCTCGCCGTTTCAGGAATTCAGTATAAATCGTAATGTACAAAATTTTCATATGCACACATGAAAGAATAAAAAACGCAGTGGACAAGAACAAACCAAGATATCTTTCCAGAGGTCCTATTTCGGCCCTGTCCACCTTCCGTTTCTTATCCTTTCGTGTGTGGATATGAACCTTCACCAATACGCTCGTCTTCAATAATACAGAAATTCGGCACCGTATTCTTGGTTCGTGGCTCATAATCTGAGCCCGAATTTGAAGCTTAAGCTCTTCGGTAGATGCAAACATGCACAGCATGCAATTTCACATAGTGTCAAACAGAGATGCTGTTCAATGCTAAGAATAATATGCGGAGTACAGTGCAACACCGTCCAGTAGAGCATGCAAGCCATATCACTTTGAAAAAGACATGGCCCTGACTGGCCCCCTCCTTCTAATGCAACACTCAAACTGCTCTGGTATCCAGTACTAACACGAAACAAAGTTTATCTAACGAGGACCTCGATACATACATTAGCAAGCGATATAAGCAGGAAAGCATGAGTGACGACCAGGCTGTGGCCAGTCACTTGCTGCGGCTATGTGGTCTGCGCAGCCCGGTCACCGCTTGCATATTCCAGCTCACACCACCAGCAACTGTACTTGCATATACAATACGAGCACATAGCCCCAAATCCTCAGTTTTGCTGGGACCTCCTCTCCCTGCCCGCTCCCCCTCCCCCATTTATGCCATTTTGACATGGGCGGTCCCCCCCCTCGACAAAACCCTATGTGCCCGATACAATACTCTATATATAGGGTGGTCCAAGTCACCAGGATCGATCTAAAATGGACCATAAAAACAGGCGCCTGCACGTAGCAATCTAAACCTTTCGTCAAAGATCTATTTCACGGGTCAATTTTTTTTTGTAAAATTACAAAAAATAGGACCAAGAAAATTGCCAGGGTTAACGGCAGGCAACGACCCAGACGACCAAGCCCAGTAGCAGGGCGTGTTTGGCGATCGTATTCATAGATGGCATCGGGAGCAGCGTCCGACGGTGCAGCCGACCAGCTAAAGCTAGCAGACGACACGTTGGCAGCAAAAGCGCTGTCGTTATGCAGACACATTTTTTTTTACTTTAAGTTCTGCTTTTATTGCCCGCATTTATTTTTTAACCGAAGGTACATTTGAAAAAGATTATCTTCATTTTATAAAACCTTGGTCGCAAGCCGTCGCAGTAAGGAGGTAGCCCATCAATCTATACGAACGCCAAACACACCTTGCTACTAGACCCCTGTCGTCTGCGTCACTGTCCGCCGTAGACCCTGGCAAGTTTCTTGGCCTTATTTTTTACAGAAAGAGAGCTACGCTTTCTAATTTTACAAAAGGAAAGCGACATGTGAAATACACCTCTGACAAAAAGTCTAGATTGCTGCGTGCAGGTGTCGATTTCTATGATCCATTTTATATCGATCCTGGTGACTTGGACCACCCTATACTTTGGTCTACGTGCTTGAGTGCAGGCGAACAATCACACTGAACTTCTCATCAGTTCCCTTATCTCTCAAGGTGCTTCTTTACAAAACGCTCGTGCGCTCTAAGCTGGAATATGCCTCTTGAATTGGGAACCCTGGCATTAACGTGTTGATATTGGCTTTTGAAGCAATTCAGAACAGATCTGTTTGTTTCATCCTTGCTAATTATCACTGCACTGCCAGTGTAACATCAATGAAAATAAGTTTGAACCTACCTAACCTTGCATTACGTGGAAATCTTAACAGTGTGTCTGTTCCACAAAATTTATTACTATAATCCTCTGCTATGTGACAAGTTACTGACACCTCTTTACATATCATAATTTCTTGACCATCCACAGATGGGCATTCCTCAATGTAACACTACAACTTTTTATAATTTATTTATACCTCAGACGACGGTCTTATGGAATCACCTTCCAGCATCTGTGGCATCCATATCCGATTCCATCGCTTCTAAACGATGCCTTAACAGTGTTAACTTTTAGCATTTCATTATTATGTATTTTTTTCATTCTTAAGATTGTCGTTTGTTTGCTTTTGATTGTTGTTTGTTTGCTTTTGATGTCTCCTTGTAACACACTCCCCTCTGCAATGTCCTCAGGCCCTGAGTAGGGTGACCATATTCCTCAAGGTAGAAAACGGGACATCCCAGCGGTAAAGGGGGGGGGGGGGGGGGGGGGTACTAAAGTTTGAGAAAAAATGTAATTAAATTCTACAGGCGTGCTATTCCTACATGATTCTACATCCGTGCTATATCCAGTAACTAAAAAAAAAAAATATTTCTACCGTCCTCGCGAAAGAAAAAGTGTTTGTGGGCAAGAACAGTCCTAAATTTTACTCTCTGGGTAAATATTGTAAAGTACCTACGGTTAGTTTTGTAAAATATACTTGCAACGAATAGGCATAGTTGCAGTTTGCTTCTACTCGCTTGGTGCCAATTTTGAAACTATGTACTTCTGCGAAAACGGGACATGATTCTATATTGGGATAAAAAGACGGGACGGCAGAAATGGACCTGAAAAACGGGACTGTCCCGGCCAAAACGGGACGTCTGGTCACCCTAGCCCTGAGGGTCTGAAGATGAAGATGCTCAGGAGCATCTTCAACTTCCTTCATCAGTAAACAGAAGTCCGCCATTAGTGTAGCACATATGGCGTTTTCAGATGATGATGATAGTGATCAAAGTGGCCAGACTGAATTCCGGAAAGGGTCTATTGTAGTTTTAAAGGTGGCCATTAATAAAAGCCAACCCAATTGACACGGTTCCCGAAAAAGCAACAGGCTTTGAGATATTCATCTGTTAATT